CTAAAAGAGGGGGGGTTAAAGTCTGCCTCGTACATTGACTTAATAAAGAGGGGCAACACTGCGATATATTTTTGCCTCCCTTCTTTGAGGAACTTTACTCACACTTATGGCTGTATCTAGACCGACCTAATGCTTGGCTTAGTTTGAAATTAGCTCTAGCAGTATCTTGCCGCCGTAGTAGCATGTTGAGTTCAAGCTTGAACTTTTCTTGAGTTGGCTAGCTGTAACGGTGATGATATGTTGCTTGAACTTGGCTGTGGCAAAAGTGAACTTTTGTTTGAACTTCGCTTGATCTTGACTGCAGCATTGTTGAGCTTTTGCTGGAACTCGGTTAAAACTTGGTCTATATACAATCGATGCTGTAAATACCAATCTCATGCAGCAGCAAGCAATGTTTTGTCACATTGCGGCTTCTTCATCGAGAGTGTGATTTTTCCTGGGGTGCCCAAAAGCTGCCGATGGTCACGTGCGAGCTGTACACTAGCTTTTACAACCGCTAATTATCACGTTACGGTAGTGCGACAATGCATAACCTACATATGCCATTGGTTCACAATTCCATGCAGGTGGCGCGATGCTCTGAGACATCCCTGCCATGAATACACATACCTGTTTATGACGTTGTTTTTTGAAGGCTGCACAAATTCTTGTGGCACGTGCCCGTTTGTTGAGCTAACTTCATTTTTTAATAGACAAGTGGTCAGTCGTAGGATTTACACAATTTTTGTGGTGCATACTCATTCATGATGACGATGTGGTGAACAGGGAATGATTTAATAAGAATTAAGGGATGCGCAGGGATTTGTTACTTATGATATACAAACTTTACGTATGCCCGATTCTGGGGTTTGGTTGCGTTCTCTTTTCCGGAAGTGCTGAGTACAAATTAAGACCTCTTATATTGCTAGAAAAGCAAGCTCTGTGTCTGTGTCTTGGGCTACCTGGGTGTGTTGCGAATAGCGTGCTTTATTTTGAAACTCGAATCATGCCACTTGGTGCAAGATTTCGACAACTTACGTGAAAACATTTTCTAGACTCTTCAATGCGCCCCTCTCCTGTTCACAAAAATTTTTAAAATTTTTCACCAAATATTCAGTTTCTTTCCTTAGGCGCCCGTGGGGTCGTTATCGAAGACACCAAGTCATTTTCGTCGAGTCTCTGCTATGAAATCTTCACATTGCCTTCCAAATTTTAACTCTCCAAACCCTATACGCGATGCTAGTTGAACTTTGCGATGCCATTTTTTTTCAAAAAAACGCCAAATTACTTCCAAAGCATGTTCTGTGGGGCCTCTTTGAATACCATATGAGTCATTTTCCTAATTACGTAGTAATTTCGGTGGATGCAACGCGACATCTTCAGAAGGCTGGAGAAGGTATTTTTGTTATCAGCCTAATTGGTCTTTTGCACTCCGATCGCCTGCCTTTACGCCACTTTATCTCGCAGAATTCCTGGCTATTACATGAAATACTCAAGAACTAAGTTATCAGCAATAAAAACGTAATATTTATTCGGATGATTTGTATGTTTGCATACATTTAACAACCGCAAAGCAGTCTCCTCTTCTAAGGATATTTTGGTCACGCGTACCGCGTTGCCTATCAGAAGTTTGGTTTCTTTGGGTCCCCGGGCATGCTGGAATTGCACTAAATGAAACTGCTGACTCGCTCGCTTCCGCATCTTTATATTTCGCTGTGGTACTAGTAGCTCATCAGTTTTGTTTTATAACTGCCGAACGATGCAGACGCCTGTTAATCTTAAAAATCAACGAAACATTGCTCCTTTGATCTAAAAAATTTCGGCACTTGCAATTCACATGGAACACCGCAAAATGCCTTTCTCGTCAACGTGAGGTGACCCTAACAAGCTTTCGCTCTAGAGTTCCTCGGTTAAATTTTTTTCTCAACAAATCAGGATTTTCATTAACTAACCTATGTGCAGTTTGCAACGAACCCTAAACAATAGATCACTTTTTTCTCACACGCCGCCGATTCGCCTCACTGCGCCGAATAATTCATTAGAGACCTATTGGTATGCTCAGATTGGCAGTTAATACATCCACCCTTTTATTGTTCAGAGCCAGTCACTTGGGTGCGGGCCGCAGTGCTATTCTGTCAGCGCTACACAAATTCATTCAGGCAACCAGAAGGATACGCTGCTTCTGGTACTGCCAGATATATCCAATTCTTTGTTCCCCTTCTTTATTTTAAATGCGAAGCATTTCTTGGCGAACTTCAGCGACTTTAAGCATATCTATCTATCTATTTATCTATCTATCTATCTATCTATCTATCTGTCTATCTATCTATCTATCTATCTATCTATCTATCTATCTATCTATCTATCTATCTATCTATCTATCTATCTGTCAATCTATCTATCTATCTATTTATCTATCTATCTATTTATCTATCTATCTATCTATCTATCTATCTTCAGAGGCAACGATGGCGTAGTGGTTAGAGCATCAGCCTCGCATGTAAGAGGTCCGTAGTTTGAATCCTGGAGCCGCGTAGTTCCCTACCAGAATTAAAAAGTCCACGTGGTTATGGAACCGCATTAGAAGGCCTGGTGTGCGGCCTCACCAGTGACCACCGCCTGTAACGCACTCCCTCACCAGAGAAAGATTGGCCACCTTGGTGCAGTATGTGGCCACCACCTCTAACATGTATATGTCTTATGGCAAGCGGTCAGCGCCTCGAGGAAGACGAAGAAGTTGTGCCGCAGCTGCTCCACGTGTTCGAGCCAGCACGAGAAGAAGAAGACGCCAGCAATAACGACAGCGTCTGTGGAATACAGCAGGGATAAATAAAATATGTAAGAAACCAAACGCCATACGTCTTCCTACAAGTGGTGACGCGGACTTCGAGCGGCAACGTGCACGTACTCGTCCTTTCGTCAATGCACCGAGCGTCACGGCCAAATCTGCTTCTTGAGCCCCATCATTTCGGCTGACCATGGACACCACACCGAACAGCGAAGCCACGTTCAATCCCACGCTACCCGACCCGGTCGTCGCTGATCTCCGGCTCCCGGAGTTTTGGCAGGTGGACTCTGAACTCTGGTTTCTGAGCGTCAAGCCACTCTTCCGACGACACCAGGTAACGTCGCAAACAGTGAGGTACGACTATGTCATTAGCGCTTTACCACCTGCTGTCATCGCCATCGTAAGAGACATTCTGTGTTCTTCCCCTCCTGACAATCCGTACGACACCCTTAAAGAGGAGCTCGTACGCCAGACAACTGAGTCAGAACAGCGTAGGCTGCAGCAGCTACTCACCTCGGAAGAACTCGGTGACCGAACGCGTACGGTTCTTCTGCGTCGCATGCGACACCTGATCGGGGACCACTCTGCTGAATCGAACGCATCCATCCTACGTGAACTCTTCTTATAGCGACTGTCACAGCAGGTGCCGATGATTTTGAGCACATTGTCTACAGAAACCCTCGACTCACTTGCGCGGATGGCCGTCAAAATTGTGGATACCGGTGCGCCGTGCATATCTGCGATCGAGAGACCACGTAAATCTACCCTCTCTGCACTGGTCCGCGACAAGCGCTTGGACCGCATTCTTCAAGCTAACGAGGAGCTCGACCACAAGGTGGATGAGTTGGCCACTGAACTGAGTGCGCTCAAGGTAGACCACCACCGCAAATTGTCACGACAATGGCGCCAAAGCCGCGAAAGATTGCCAAGTTTTCCTCTCGGCGTCGGCTGGTACCACCACCAATACGGAGCCTGAGTTCGTCAGCACAAACAGCCATGCCAGTTTATGGATAACGCACGGGCCACGCACTGACGGCGGCCAGTGTTTCAGACCCGACATAGAGCCGCCTATTCCACGTCACGAACCGCGTCACCAAAGTCCGCTACCTCATCGACCCAGGTGCCGAAGTGTGTGTTGTTCCTCCTACGTTGTAGGACCGCCGACGACGCCAGACCTTGCCGCCTGTCACCGCAGTCATTGGTTTCACCATACTGACCTACGGACAGAGGTCTGTCACTCTTGGCATCGGCCTGAGACGCACGTTCCGGTGGATCTTCTTAATCGCCGACGTGCATGTAGCCATCATCGGCATGGATTTTTTTTTTGTATTTTAAGCTTGTGATAGACCTATGACATAGCCGTCTCGTGGATTCTGAGACCCTCCTCACAGTTCAGGGCGTGACACCTGATTCGCCACCCTTGCGTCTCGTGCACGCTCATGCCAAAGTCTCCCCGCCGTGGTCTACCCTTCTGCAAGAACTTTCCGACCTCTTTCGTGCTCCATCTCTTGAACACCCAATACACCACAATGTCACTCATCACATAGTAACAGTAGGAGCTCTGGTGTTTGCACGTGCTTGTCGTCTCGCTGCTGACCGCTACAAGATTGCACGTCAAGAATTCGAGCACATGCTTGAACTCGGATACGTCAGTCCCTCTTCCGGTGCCTGTTCGTCACCGCTACCCATGATTCCGAAGGTACCAGGTACTTCGTGATTTGACCTTCTGGTCAAATCACGAAATACCTGGTACATTGAATCACATCGACGACATCCTTGTCTTCAGCACCACTGTAGCATATCATGAACTTCACCTGCGTAAGGCTTTCACACGATTTTGCAAATATGGACTAGTCGTCAACGGACCAAAGATCGGGTTCGGCGTTTCCTCACTGAACTTTTTTGGCCATCATGTAGATTCGCGTGGGATATCTCCACCGGCCGCGCGTGTTGAATCTATATTGCAGTTTCCACGACCAACAACTAAGAAGAAACTACGTGAATTTCTTAGGCTTGCCAACTATAACGGCGGTTTATTCCTCTTTGCGCTGGCATGTTGCAACCACTCCATGCACTTCTATCTCGTCAAACGAAGCCCAACGCTTCCATCCTCTGAACGGGCGATGTAGAGACAGCTTTCAGTTCCATCAAGGAAGCTCAGGATAACGCAACGCTCCTCGAGCATCTAAAGAGTGGCGCCTTCACGTCCCTCACAGTGGACGCCTTGGACGTCATGATAGGAGCAGTCTTGCAGCAGTTGGTCGACATAGTTTGGCAGCCGGTCGCTTTCTTCGCACAGAAGCTCTCACAGACCGAGCGTCGTAATAACACATTCGGTCGCGAACTGCTCGCGGCCTATTTGGCTGTCAAGCACTTTCGACACTTTCTAAAAGGTCGGCAGTTCCATATCCTCACCAACCACAAGCCGCTTACGTGTGAATCGACTACTACCAACTCTGCCCACACACCGCATGAGATCCGCCAGCTTGCTTTCATATCGGAGTTCACGAGTGATATCCGGCACATTAGTGGCAAACACAACCCCGTTGCTGACGCGCTTTCTCGAATAGAAATCAACGCATTTATGAATGAGCACCCACCAGTCGATTTTGCAGCCATGGCTACTGCACAACAGGATGACAGCGAGCTTCAGGTGTTGCGACTCCAAGAGAACTTCCTCAAGCTCGACGATCTCCAACTTTCAGGCTGCGCGATTCTGCTCGTTTGCGACACCTCTACCGGTTGTCCTTGCCCTTTCGTTCCAGCACGATTTCGCCGCAGAGTCTTCAACGCCTTGAATTTCTTGTCGCACCCCGGCACACGTGCGACTCAGCGCCTCATCACAGGGCGATGTCTAAGGCCTCGAATGAACATCAACGTCCGCCGCTGGTTACGTGCTTGCCTCAAGCGCCAGTTAACTACAGTCCAGTGCAACACGGTCTGCCTACTGGGTACCGTCACGCCTCCTGACTCACGGTTCAGTCACGTGCACCTGCACATCGTAGGCCATTTGCTCCCATCGCAAAACAGCCGGTATATGCTAACTTGCGCAGACTGGTTCACGCGGTGGCCTGAGGCACTACCCCTCACCGAAATCACGGCAGGTTCAGTCGCCCACGGACTCATCACCGCGTGGATAAGCCGCTACGGAGTTCCTAAGACCATCTGAACGGTGGTCGTCAATTTGACTCCGCGCTCTTCTGCACCTTGTCCCGAATGTTTGATGTCAACTACATCAAAACGACGGCCTACCACCCGATGTCGAATGGCATGGTTGAGCAATTTCACCGCCAACTCAAAGCTTCACTCATGGCCTCGCGTTCGTTGATATCCTGGATGGAGCAATTATCACTTGTCCTCCCCGCCCTGCGCAGCACAATACGTATGAACGCGTCCTGCTCCTCAGCTGGGCTCGTATTTGGCACTACCCTAAGGCTTCCTGGACAGTTTTTCGACACGTCACCGGTATCACCATTGGATGCAGCTGATTATGCCAGTCGCTACAAGAATGGCATGAGAGATGTGTCCCCTATTCTTGCACGTCAAAACTCACGCCTAAGCTTCGTCAGTCGTGCGCTCCGCGACTGCACCCACGTCTTCGTACGACATGACGCAAGCAGACTACCGCTGCAACCTTCTCACGACGGACCCTTTAGGGTCGTCAAGCGTTGACCCAAGCATTATGTTCTGTTGCTTAATTGACGCGAAGAGAGTGTCTCCATTGACCACATAGAGCTAGCTTTCCTCGACACTGACGCCGTCCTCGAAGACTACAAGCTATCCGCGAAAACCTGACGAACGTGCTTTGAAATAGCAGAACCTACAACCTGCCCTTAGGGTTCGCTCCTTCGCGCACGGGCTGCCTCGCTAGAGGGGGAGGGGGGCTATGGAAAGCCGTCAGCGTCTCGAGGAAGACGAAGTTGCGCCGCAACTGCTCCACGTGTTCGAGCCAGCACGAGAAGAAGAAAACGCCAGCAAGAACGACAGCGTCTGTGGACGTCCATGCCAGAACAGGGATAAATAAATATTGAAGGAAACAAAACGTCGCACGTTTTCCTACAGTCTAATAACTCACGACCTTCAGTCCCCAGCGGCGGCGAAGCAACTGGCCATGGCGGTGGTCAGATATGCAACGCAGCATAGGGTGCTAAGAATCTCTGGGTAAGATTAGGCCACCAATGAAACCTGAACTTGGCAACGTTTATTACTGTATTCCTATCTAGTGAGGCAAGTCTAGGTGTAGTAATCGAGGAGCTACATGGTGGTAGCTCCTCGATTACTACGATACATGGTGGTAGCTCCTCGATTACTACGATGCGATAAGGCTCAATGAGGTTAGGAGGACAGTTGAGGCCTATATAGTGCCACAGAATGGGCACGTCCTGTGCTATTGTAGCATGGCTGACAGAAGACAACTAGGAGTGTGATTCCTTATCCACAGAAATATAGCTGGTGTAGAGAGGAAGAATATTACGCGCCGCAGTGTGTCACGCCTTTAGTGAGAGGAGCCGACCGCGAGCTATCCCCCCGAGCGTTGTGTTTTCCTGCGTCGGTTGCTGCCACTCACTTTCCGCGTCAATAGGCCTGCTGTGCAAGTACTACTTACGCCAATAAACCTCGTTTCAGAGTGGTGAAGGTGCGGGGAAACTCAACCTGGAATTCCGCAACAGGAAACCACCTGCCATCCCAGACATCGCTGAAGAAAACACCCAGCAAGGTAGGACCCAGCCTTCGATGGTCATCCTGGCCACTGCGCTACACGTGCGCTATCCACCTTTTTCGATGGTACTGATGAGCAAGACGTAGAAGATTGGCTGTCGACATTTGAAAAGGTAGGCGCAAGCAACAAGTGGGACGACCCTTCGAAGCTGCAATATGTACCTTTCTACCTAAAAGAGGTAGCGAGTCTTTGGTTTAACAACCACTACTCGGAATTCGCCACTTGGGGTGCCTTTAAGCTACGCATTACCGATGTGTTTGGTCACCCTGAGGTACGCAAGCTTCGTGCCGAACAGCGCTTACGGGGACGCGCACAGCTTCAGGGGGAAGGCTTCACAAGCTACATCGAGGATGTGCTCGACTTGAGCAAGCGCCTTGACCCTTCAATGATCGAGGCAGACAAGATCAAACACATTTTGAAGGGGATAGACGATTGATTGATTTGTGGGGTTAACGTCCCAAAACCACTAAAGGGGATAGACGACGCCGCCTTCCAGATGCTGCTGGCCAAGGGCCCACGTACCGTGTCCGAACTGGCCCCCATTGCCAGAGCATCAAGGAGTTGTGCAAACAAGGGGTCATGACACGGCAGCCAGTGGCTACGGACGAAACTCTCGCGGCATTGAGCCTGTGGGAGACCACAGCCCAATCATGTCGGAAATCAAACAATATGTGTGCGAAGAGGTGGCCCAACAACTTTCGTGTCTGTCGTATCTACCGGCGACAAAACCCTCTTCTGAGTGTCTCGAGCCCGCCATCAGGCACGTAATACAGGCGCAGGTCTCTGTGGCACTGCCGTCCGTCTCTCAGACAGCAACCGTCACCGCGCCATTGACTTACGCTGCTGTTGCTGCTGATCCGCCACGACCTCCGCTTGGGCCGACTCCCCAACCTGTAGGAGTATCAACGACGCCATTTCAAGCAACACAACAGCGCTATAACGGAAACCCTTGGCGCACAGTTGACAATCGTCCGATCTGTTTCGCATGTGGATATTCAGGTCACGTGGCGCGCTTCTGTCGCCGACGCTCCGCAACGGGCTCGGCTGCAGCTCCGAGGTACCCTGACTACTCTTTACCGGCCCTGTACAACGCATAACGAGAACTGCCATGTCAATGCGATCGACAATCAGTGGAACGGGACTCGTCACCAACTGAACTAGACCACCGCCTTGCTGCCGACTACCGATCATTCGGTGTCCGTCGCTCATCCTCAACACGCCGCTATCGTTATCCGTTCCCTCTGCGTTGCCGACCACATTTCATAGAGACGGAAAACTGACGGCCGCAGCTCCGGAGGCATGAGCTGCGAAATCGTCGCATTGTACATGTCCTTGCCCGTCCACCACAAACGTTCTGGAAGTGTTTGTTGAAGGTCTATGAACTCTTTCGCTTGTTGATACGGGGGCCGTCGTATCTGTGATGAGTCAGAAACTCTGCCGTTCGATACGAAAATTAACGACGCCCCCTATTGACGTTTTGCTGAATACCCCGAGTGCGCAACCAATTCGACCAGTTGGAGCATGCATGGCGAGAGTAAACATTCAGGACGTCCTGTACTACCTCGAGTTTCTCGTATTGACTACTTGTCTGCATGACGTGATACTTGGACGGAATTTTTTGTCGCGCCACCATGCCCCAATTGACTGCGCTTGCGCACAGGTGGAATTTTTTGTGTTTTCAGATGCGCCATCTCCCGACAATGAGCGCACTCACCTTGGCAAGCTTCTTGTTGCTTCCGGCGTTTGATTAGAAAAAACACGCGCCATTTTGTGGGAAAAAAATGGCACGTGTTTTGCGGGAGGCTGGCTTTCAATCCAATGTCCTATTTTTTGCGGCTCAGAAGGTACTGCGTATGAAGAAAGGGAAGGGATGCCCTGAAAGGAGGCAGATAAACGACGTAAGTTTGCGGTAGTCCCAAATGTGCACGAATTTTCGCATAAGATAAAAAAGTGTGCAAAATATTCAACCTCGACGTTGTGCTTTCCACACGTGGAAAACTGCAGCAAATGTGTTCTAGAATTGATTTACAAAGCAGAATGAAAGCAGGTCTTGTGAAGAAAGGTTGTGGTGTCAAGCATGTCAATTCCTTCACCAAATGTCGATCTAATGTTGTTTATGGTATCCCACTGTCTTGCGGCAGGTTATACATTGGGCAGACTGGGCGCTGCTTGAATATTTGCCTGCGAGAACACTACAACGCGCTGAAATCAGCCCCGGGGATACGACGATAGTTATAGCGCGAGAACAAAACGACGACACAGAGACAAGAAGGACACGAAAGACACGAACGCTAACTTCCAACTGATTTTCTTGCGCAGAGCACGAAAATATATAGAGGAGACAGAAACCATGTGATAAAAACCATATGGCACAAAGAGCAGAACATGAGTAAGAAAAAAAAAACAAAAACAAACGACACAAAAACAAAAGCACTGGAAAACAGCAAAGAAAAAAATCTAGAAGAAAACAAAACAGAAAAGTAAAGATAGTATAACTACCTGCCCGCACCGAAACCTTCGAGGAACCTGCGTTCCTTCTCGGACAAAGCCACGGAGCGCTTACTAATACAAGGCACCTGTTCGCGTGCCATCTGCGTGGCCTCTTTCGTGTCCTTCTTGTCTCTGTGTCGTCGTTTTGTTCTCGCGCTATAACTATCGTCATGTCATACCAACTAGCCCAAGCTGCCACACCCGGGTTTACATTTGTCCACCCACTGCAAAAAGTGTGGCTGCGTACCTGATTTTTCCAGCACATCTATCTTAACAGCCATCGTGACACGAAAACTAGAGAGCTTGCGGAAGCCTTTTTTATTAAAAAGAATATTGATAGTTGCGTTAGCTCACCATCTATATCACTGTTAGATTGTGAAATATTGTTTCTGGACGACACCTGATCAAGGTGGAAACTTCTCTCCAGTTGTTTCCCTTTCCCATCTTTCTGGTATATAACTTCTCTGAATAAACTGAGTTTCAGTCTGCGCTTGTTTGTCTCTCCTCTTGTGTCCCATTGGTTTGTGCTTCCAATTATTCCATCACGAATTTGTACCAACTAGCCCGCCTGTCAACCCTACTGCAGCTTTCACCTTTGCATAGTTGGCTGCAATGGTCGGTGTCAGCCTACCATACACACTGAGCGCTTCACCACTCAAGCAGGTACTCAAAGCAGTTGCTTATTGGTGTTCCCGCCGATTCTGGCTCCTCGCAATCGTCTCAAATCTGTGAAGGTACGCGTCAAGGTCGTCCTTCCTTTCATCAAACGCTACGAGCAGCTTGCTTGGGTTCAAGCTGAAGCCATGTTCCCCTCATTCACTGCTTTAAACTCTAGCTTGAACCGGTGTTTCACTTCGCTGTTGCGAACGGAGCTGCTCAAATTCCATCTCGTGCTGCCGCTGCCATTCCCTTTCAGCCATCTCCGCTTCTCTTTCTTCCCTCGCCCTTTCAGCTGCAAACTTTTCTCTCTTCAGCTCCAACTTCAATTGCTGCTCTCTTTCTTCCTTCCCCTTTCAGCAGCCAGCCTTTCTCTCTCCAACTCAGCTGCTTTTTCTTCCTTGGCCCTCTCAGCTGCCAACCTCTCTCGTTCCAACTCAGCTGCCTTTTCTTCCTTGGCCCTCTCAGCTACCAATCTCTCTCTCTCCACCACCTCTTTCTCCTTCTGGCTTACCCACTGCCGTTGTTCGGCGCCAGAAAGACCCATCTTTTTACCAAGAGCTACTAACTTTTCGAGATTCATTCTGTCTCGCAAGTGAAGTCTTGCCGCCTGTAAAAAGTATCTGCCAAAATCAGTCTATCGGAGTACTGCACTCCTTAACGAGAACACTGAGCAACACACAAAATCGTTCCGATAGCACTATCAACAACTCGAGGCTCTTTCTCACTACTTTGGACACACTGTGCACCAAAAGATCCTGTCGCGGACGCCAGATTAATTGTCACAGCTCCCGTTAATCAGGAATGCGATTGCCGGGCTAATTCCAAGGGCCGAAGTATCGGCCCCCCGAACCGCACCACGAAAGCGTGGACAATTTAGAAGTGGTCCTATTTGGCGCGCCAGCGAACGCCAGCTGTGGCCCAAAGAACAAGTCAGAGCCGAGAGTTGATAAACAAAACAAAATTATATTCTCAATAATGGCAGATCAAAACGATACACAAATATGCACACTCGACAATAGTTGAATACGATATGTCACCAATCAAACAACGTACTACACAGTACAATCAGCCACACTCGAAACAACGTACACAAACAACAATACGCTCTAAAATGCAGTCGCATGCATCGAACAACCAAGGCACTTAAAGGCTAAAGATTTCGAAAACTTATTGAGTCGAAAGTCCTTGGAACAAAAGACTGAATGATACTTTCGAGAATCACTCACGCAACGTCCAGCGCTGTTGTCGTTCCGCTGCCGCCGAAGTTTCTCTTCCAGGAAACCTCGCGTCTTCAATGGGCCGCTCTCCAAGCACAAATCTTTTTCGCCGGTAACACGTCGGCTTCCCACGCGCAGCTGTTGCCACGCGTCTTCGCTCGCTGGCGGTAGACACACATTTTTGCCCGTAGCACGAGTCTTCACCCCTCACATGGAAATCCTCTTCTTCTCCTCCTTTGTCACTGAGTGCAAAAGGCTTCGCCGACAAGGCGCAACACCCTGCGCACTCCGGCGCGAATTACCTTCTTCTCCTGCTTTGTCACTGAGGACAAAACCTTCGCCGACGACACGGCGGAACACCCTACGCACTCAGGCGCACCCTACTGAAACGTTCCGTATGCGATGTCCAATAATTCCGTATGTTTCCGTAAGAATGTTACGGAAATATATGGAAAATATATAGGAAACATATGTATTTTTTACGGAAACATATGGAATTATTGGACTCGCATACGGAACGTTTCAGTAGGGCATACTTTCTTCTTCTCCTGCTTTGTCACTGAGGACGAAACCTTCGCCGACGACACGGCAAAACACCCTACGCACTCTGGCGCATACTTTTTTCTTCTCCTGCTTTCCCATTTCTGCTGCTCGGTTCAATACCTTCCGCGCGAGATTCCAGAAAATCCTCATAATTTCGTCGGCGCGATACGCAGCGAAGGCTGGGGAAAGCGCGAGACGGTTCGAGGGCCATCCGCAACAGATGACGCAACCCTGCATCACCACACCCCTTTCCATCGAGAACTTTCCAGGGTTTGCTCGGCCGCCGATGTGAGGAGGTTCGTCGGTGAACCTACGCTTCCGAGGAAAGAGAGACGCGCGCCCGGGAAGTCTTTGGATGCTTGTTTTCTTTTTTTATCTTTGATCTCGAGGCGTCACTACAGCGCTTCGTCGCGAGATTTTCATGGCGCGCCCTTTTTGAGCGCTTGTTTTTTGACACTGCACACCATTCTTCAGTGTCGTACTAAGGTAAACCTCCAGCTTAACCTAAAGAAGTGCGGCTTTGGGGCTCGCCAACTTACTGTACTCGGTCACGTTGTGTCAAAGGATGGAATTTGCTCCGACCCAGACAAACTTCGAGCCGTAGCCGACTTTCCGAAGCCGACTTCACTCAAAGAACTTAGGAGCTTCATCGGCTTGTGCTCGTATTTTTGTAGTTTCATCCACAACTTTGCATCAATAATAGCCCCATTTACACTACTACTGAACGGTCCAGCTAATCTTTCTAACTGAACCCCGGCATGTGACGAAGCTTTCATTACACTGCACCGCCTGCTTACGTCCCCACTTATTCTACACCATTACGACCTAAGTGCCCCCACGGAAGTGCACACAGATGCCAGTGGCGTGGGTCTGGGAGCAGTACTCGCGCATCGAAAGCCCGGTATTCTAGAGTACGTCGTCGCATACGCAAGCCACGCACTCACGAAAGTGGCGATGAACCACTCAGTAACTAAAAAAGAATGCCTCAAAATCACTTGGGCGTTAAGCAAGTTTCATCCTTACTTGTATGGACAGAGTTTCTACGTTGTGACCTATAACCACGCACTTTGTTGGTGGGCGTCTTCAGGTCACCTTGGACGTTGGGCTCTTCGCCTACAAGAATTCGACATTCGTGTCGTCTACCACTCAGGACGAAAACACTCTGATACGGACACCCTCTCACGATCACCAGTGAGATCCAGTGCAGACCAGCATTCGGACGCCAACTTCTCCATCGCTCCCAGCTCCGTCTCAAGTATGTCGTCTGAACAGGGGAAAGACCCATGGATAACATTCCTCCTTAAAGGCTGGTGCACACCGGCGACTAGTCGCGGTCGCGCGACCATTTGCGACTGGTCGCAAGCAGTCGCGAACGGTCGCAAGCGGTCGCAAAGCGACTGTTTGGGCCAGTCGCTTCCTGACCGATTTTTTGGTCGCGCGACTGCAGTCGCAAAACAGTTTAACCAATCAGCGAAGACCAGAAGTGACGTCAGTCTTTGTTTACATCCGGTCTCCTCGTATGTTTTTTTTTCCTCGTTGCGCTTGCCTACTGCCGTGAGGTACGAACGACACGTACGTTCCTCCATGGATTCTTCCTCGCATCAGGCGAATGCCACCACGGCCAGCTTTGGGTAGTCGGCCGAGCTCCTCATCGACGCGACTAAAATGTACCCATATCTGTATGACAAGCGGCACCCTTCTTTTAAAGATCGGACAAAGAAGGACCGGGCTTGGGCAGATCGAAGCATGTTCGGCATGTCGAGTAAGTACCGAGACTTTTTGTTTGAGTAGCTATATAAGCAAAAACAGGTGTGTACTGCATGGCTGGCGTTGCCAATGAATGAACAATGAAAATATTGGTATTTGTACTGCAAGGTTACATGGTTAGTTTGCATGAGATGTATTGACTGTGATGTATGCGAGCGCAGTTGTGTGCATGTTTGTTCTCGCGACTTCCCGAGTTTAACATCGAAATCGACGTGACAGAACATTGTATAGCTGATCATAAAGCTCAGACGTTCGAAATACTGCTCGCAGTTGCCAACTCACATGCGCATGCTCCTTGCTGTGTTTGTACGTCATCGTCTGGCGAACGGAATGTGTGCTTTTGTGAACGTGCGGCATTTGCAATGCATAATATCTAGTGCGCGGTGAGGGAGGGGGGGGGGGAGTTACGCTTTAATTTTGCCTATGCATTGCAGTTGTGCTGCTTTAAAAAAGAATGCAAAGTAGCTTCTGCTTTGAGCGCATTTTGTGCACTCCACAGAGGAGCGTGTAATTAAAACATGAAAAACATGTTTAGCAGCACTCTCAAATGTCCGGATTTGGGAGTCAGACATGCTGTTGATGCCAAATGACATGCAATCGTAAAAAAAAAAAGATATGGTAGTGTTCTAGTGGCTGGGCGAACACTGAAGGAAAGCACAGATGGGGGAATTTATTCCTCTGTAATGTGGCCCAAATCTAATCCTCATTTCTTCACAACTGCTCCTTTCCTCTCCTGTGTTTTTGTCTATTGGTGCCTTTATATTTTATTCCCCGAGGTTATATCTCTCCGCTTTCAACTGTGCCTCGTTTTTGTTTGTTTTCTTTGTTCCTATATTTTAAAGTCAATTTTTCATGTCTGCTTCTATGTGTTGGTATGTTTTCATGTTTTGGTCCCTTTATTTTCTTATATTTTCCTTCCTCTCGCTCTCTCTATGTTACACTTTGAGTCATATACTATGTTTGTTGCATTTCTTTCTCTCGAAAATTGTCATCTTGCTCTAGTTAGTTTCATTCTTCTTTTCAAGTTATTTAACATGTTTGCTTTTGTTTGACAACAATCGCTCCCGCTGTACACGACAGTTGCGCTTGGCCGATACCAATGGTATATACTCACCTGTGGAGTTTTGCGCAATGCAGTAATGCTTAGAAAGCTTCACTGTGAAGGTGATAAAGACATCATGTGCTGGTTCATGAAATAGACTTTTTGCAAGTGAACTTCAATTTCCGACAGTATAAACAGCCTCTTTGTTACAATAGCTTGGCAGACATGCTTACCTTCAAGAAACAGTGTACATAACTCTTTGCGCAACTAATCATTGCGTCAGCTGTGATGTCGTGCACATGTAGGTGGACGGTCTAAAACACTAGGTGGGTAGCATTTCTGGAACCCTCGGCTGCAGGTTCCCTCAATCATGTCGTGGTTTTGCAATGTTTAAGCCCCTACCAATAGTTAAGTTTAGATGGCATGCGATTCATTTTGTTGCCCAATATTCAGATTTCTAGGGTGCTGCAGCCAAAATGATCTGGGCAAAGAAAATAAAGACCGCTCACAATTGTGCTGAAATAAAGTAGAAAATTTATCAGCGATACAGTATGCACAATACATTCTTACAGCAAGGGTTTTGTTTTCAGGTGTCCTTGTTGAGAAACGATTTAAGAACCTGCGTGATATCTTCAAAAAGAAACAACACGACATACGTGAAAAAACAAAGAAGTGGAGCCGGAGCAGCCGACATTCCAACAATAAAATGGCCCCATTTTGAGGCCATGCTTGAATTAATGGAAGGAGAGTCTGAGCCTGTGGCGTAAGTTCAATATTAGCTGACTATTGAGTACTAAACAAAAAAAAAGTTGATTTAATTCACATGACTGTTATACATACACATAAATACTCACATATCAATACACATAAGTACACTGCACATAAACATAGAAGTCCCAAGAGGTAATTCACAGTGGGCATGCATGTGATCATGAACATGATGGCAATGGGCTGTTTTGATGTCGAATAACTGTGGCTACAGCTACGAAGAATAACTCAGTGCATCATTCTTTCTGGATACTGTGCAACATGAGTGCCATTGACCAAAGGTAATGAATAATGCTTACCGTCCATTGAACAGAAAATGAAATGTTTTGGTTAGCATAGCACAATGCATCAGCACAACGCAAAAAATATAGCATACCGTACAAGTGGCACGTGGACAGCTTCACAAAACAGAATATTGAAGACAGAACAGTAAGAATGAAAGAATTGAGTGTACTTCTGTGTCATTCTCGGCTCTCATTTACCAAAAAAAGAAAGGCTTAATACAAAATATAAAAATCTAAAGAGATCGCTTATTGCATGTGTCATGAGGCTGTTCATAGACAAGCATTGCACATATTCATTACAAGAATGCAGCATAAGTACTTATATTGTAGCAAAACAGTGAAAATGCTCTAAAGATGCACACAATAGCACTGACAGAATCACATATTGCATGTTCTCTTGCAGCAGCCACATCACAGCAGAAGAGGCTAACGAGAGGTGAGCATGCACAAAAATTTTCGGTACCATGTGCATGCACTTGAAGCTGTACATGCATGGACTTGAACCTAGAAACATTATTTTTTATTACTAGGTGATTGTACTTTGCAAAATTATCAAAAATACAAGCGTGCTTGAAAGGTGGTGTTCAGGTCGTTAGCTTGCCCAAACCACTGCATTTTTTTCAATACATTCAGCACTCAACACTGAACAGAAGCACACCGAAATACATGAGGGCACAGGCATTGTTTCTGTGTGAATGTGGTTATTTTACAACGTCAAATATTTCTGAAAAAGCAAAGTATTCATCAGCAACAGGCTGCAATTACTTTTACTTCATCTCCGTGACAATATCTCTTGTTCTCATTTAGATGTGCAGCCTACATAGCATTTTATTAACATAATAGGCACAATAAACTTCTGTATGCACACCTTCCATACAGCAGTGCTCAATCAAGAGGTAACGCAAGTGTAAAATAAACTTCGTGTTGAGCGAAATCATAATGGCATTTTAACTCCCAAAGAATGCCTAAAACTTTTCATGTACTAGCGGCATCATCAAATACATAGAAAGAAATTTTAATCACTGCAGATCACCGCCTCGGCCAAGACATGCAGCGGAACCGGAACGTACCCCTGATACGGCTGAGGAGACTCGTGTCGACACCTGCAGCAATGAGTAAAACCTTTATGAATCCACCTAAGTAATGACAAATGAAGGGCATGCATAGATAGCCAATCTATTAAATCTTAAAAACATGCATGTTCTAGCACATTTGAAGAATGTGCCTAATGTTTTTTTTTTTTTTTACAGGTATCTTACAGGCCCTTGGTTAGGGCATTGAGTAAGGGGGGCTAACAAAGACATGTACAACAAGTAAAAGGGCGAAAGGTGCCAAAACGTAAGCTCGAGACATGAGTAACAAATAAACAAGAAATAAGTAAGTATAAATTGACATCATACATCGTTACCAAAAAACAAGAAAGATGCAGTTCATGGCACGCAGCAGTTAGGAAGTGTACAATACGTGTAAGTTAAATTGGCACAGATTGTGGTATAATACACTGGGAAAATCATGAAAGCGCTTACAGGAAGTGTGAACAGTTCGTCCTAAGCAAACAAAAATAAAGCACAAAAAATAAGGGGGCAATAAGCGCATTAGAAAAAAAACTTTTTGCACAGCATTATGAATGTCATATACATACAAGAACGAAGCTGTGAACATAAAATTATCAACCAAAATGTAAGACCAATTTGTTGCGGAAGGAAACAGGGTTAGTGTCAGATACCAAGTTATCGGGAAGATCATTCCACAACGTGATGGCACGAGGCAAAGCGGATGCGTTAAAAGAGTTCGTTTTGCCGTACATGCGCGAGAAACTAAGCCGGTTGTGTAGTCTAGTTGATAAATAGGAGGGTCGTTCAATTGGAAGTCTGGTCATTTTAGTGCTATTGACGTATTTATGAAAGAGGCATAAAAGAGAAATGTTGCGGCGAGTGGATAATAATTGAAATGAATAATCCATTTTAAGTTGTGTTACGCTGCAGGAGAAATTATAATTACGAGAAATGAATCGGACTGCCCTATTTTGAACTGCTACATGCACCAGATTTTGCTACATGCAATTTTTCACACCAGATTCTGCTACATGCAATTGCAACACTTTATAAGTTGTATAATAATACTGCCTCCTCCTGCGGTGATGCTTCAGCAACCACCTCAAGAGAGCAGCCACCATCAAAACGGTGTGTAAACAAAAAAAATTATTTTAGGTACTCCTGGCAAGAGATCACAACCACAACTTTTCGAAAAGGATCACTTTCTGTACATTTAAGTAATATGTATAATTCACTGCAGGTCACGCTCGTCATGCAGACTGTATCAGGAGGTCAAGACCTCGTCAGGCTATTTAGCCTTTAGTCTTTGCCTCCCGCAGGGAAGTTTTTGTATTTTTTTTTATTCTTTCCTGCAAAAATAAACTTTGAAACTTTGAAACTTTGAAGACGACAACGGACCTGCGAGGGCGCTAGGTGAGATATACCCCTAACTCTTAGAGGATAAACTTGCAGATTTTTTTCTAACAATCCTGCGCATGCTACAAAACACAAAACTTTATAAGGTTCACGCTCGGTCAAGTTGGTACACAGACAGAGTAACAAAAAAGAGTGTGAGAACGACAAGGTAGAAACAGAAGAAACAGGACAGAGCACAGACTTTAAACTGATGTTTTTATTGTGGACACATTTATACTAAGGTAGACAGAACCCATGTAACTACCGTAATATTTAGACGTTAATATCAGAACATCAGCACCCTGTCCCAAAACACAAGTGTCCGTTTCAAAGATCAAAAGCCCATTTATTTCTCACAGAGAAGTAGACGCCCTATTGACACATTTATCTTTTAAGTGTGCTATTTAATTTGCTTCAGTTGCTCTATATTTTTTTCTTTCTTAGTGCCGAAAATCACAAACATTAGCTGAAAGTCAGTGCTCTGTATTGTTTCTTCTGTTTCTACTTTGTCGTTCTCACACTGTTTTTTTTTGCTAAATGGTGCTTTATGAAGTAACAATGCAACCTTAAAGCATTTGCATGAATCGCAATTCACACTTGCTTTGCAGCAATGCAGGAGAGGGCACAAGCCATGAAGCTGTGGCGCAAGCGTGCATGGAGCACCTTGAACACATCAGAGCGAACAAGGGGGTCATCAAAAAAGATAACATTGGTTTCTTCGCTCTACGTACCGATGCACCCCTCAGAGAGCTACCAGTGCACATTGCACAAGATGTAATGCATGCAGTAGAACTTATGCTGTATGAAGCAGAGGCAAAATTGCATCAGAGCAGTGAAGCAAATTGAAGTGTTTATATATATAAAGTCAATGACACCCACCTTTTTTTATCTTGTGTTCACTTTTCTAGTCCTAACTTAAAGGGGTCATGACTGGTCACTCAACAATTGACGGTTGTCAGCAAAAAACAAAACTACAGAGTAAAATGTGCTAGTACACGTGTGAAAAGGGGCCTTAAGAGATTATTTTAGTCAAAAATATGCCGTAGAAGTGCTCGGCTCCTAAAACTCAACCTACCACAAGTGACCGCCATTTTGTCATGGCGTGCGCGACGTCACAAGCCGAAGGAGCAGTGGCAAATGGTATACGCATTGCACATTCACGAAATTATTTGCTGCAAGTACCAACGCTACATTGCTGACACAGTAGCCATGTTTCGACCCCTGGAAGTCATTTAGCTTTAGTGGAGAGTTCAACAATGCAAAAAAATTTGATTGCAAACGCAGCTGATGACAAAACACGACCGTCTGCCAGAATGCACACTGTGCAGCAGCTTGTCGAGCAAGCGGTTCGTGATGTCATGGATAGTGAGTGCATCAGTATTGCCCAACTGTCAGGCGACTAGCTCGTTTATAAAAATATGCGATTAAAAATTAGCAGCTTGACCAAATCGCTCGAATTTCACCAGCTTGTATGTGAACATACAAGAATCAGCTCATGCAACACACATTATGGTTGAAAATTGGGTGTCATGACCCCTTTAAGGCCACTTATTTCTGTGATAATTATAGCGATAACCGTGCAATAACTCAAATATTTTAACATGAATTATTTATTTTTGTGTTTTCATGGTTATATTTGGACATGACAGTTTTCCCTGTAATGTATCTGTTGTGTCACGGGTGATTTTTTTCTTCTTTGTTTAGCTTAAGAAGATGCTATGTACATAAGTTCTGTAAGCAATAAAATGCATTTACAACCCACCTTCACCTTGTACGCCTCAAGTGCTGTTCACCACTTTGTCCTGCCAAGGCACCTGACCGTCTGTGACGAAGTAGTGCGCCAATTTATCTCGCACTTCCTTGGCATACCTACAACGCATAAGTGCCATGTGAAATTTCTGTCGGCACAGCCATGATGGAAGACACACACTGTAAAAGGAACATGCTGAGCTTGAAAATCTCACACATAGTTGCATTTCAGTGTCGTAGTCATGACGCTACATTGCCAAAGTGTTCCTCATTTTTATGTATTAATGAGTGCTACCTCTGCTGTCTATTTTCTACGACATCATCACAGCTTCTGATAGAATGCATATTTGCTGACTGACTTTAGAAATTTCGATATGTCAAGTTTCATGGCAGCCAAGGTCAGTAACTGCTCGCATTTGGACAAAACAATTGTACACTTTTGAGAGAACGATTGCCCTGTACAGTTAAACCAAATTAAGGCTGGTGCACACCGGCGACTAGGAGCGGTCGCGCGACCATTTGCAACTGGTCGCGAACGGTCGCACTGCTTGTGCACTCTGCAAGCTGTCGTATATGCAGTGAATATTTCTGTGCCTACACATTTTAGCGAATCATAAGCATGCATCAACCTTTTCATGGAAGAGCGTACGTGCTCATATCACTCAGGTTGAAGAAGGGCAACCTAAATGTACCTGTAGCAATTTCCTTAGCATGGATTTCTGAAAAGCTGTAAATTCAAGGAGAACCTATTTCGCAAAACGTACATCACTCAAGTCAATTGTTCAAATTGCTTTCACACAATGTGCTACCGTCCACAATACGTTTTGCCACTGCACTACTGTCCACAGTGTATTGAGTCACTGTCATTTTAACAGAACATACGTATAATTGTAGCAAGGTGCAGGGGTTAAACACTGCCTATGTTTGTGAGAAATTTCGCATGTGTACTTGTGCAAACACACACCGTCGTGCATGCAGATACATAAAGGGTGGTTGGTTGAACCTCCTCCCTCCCCGATGCTGAAAAATATTTTTGGCATGAATACTCTTTGAGTGCCTCGAACAGCACATCAATTTGTCCTAACAATTTGTGCATAATTGTACTCGCAAAGCTTAGGATTGTGTTTCACTTATTTTATAACATCATTAATAATTGCGTTCTATATAGTACCTGTGCATCAGGATAACAGAAAACGGGAACTGACCGGTCCACAATGTAATGTCATTGTGTAGCGCAGAATCCCATTTTCTGGGATTTTACAAGCGGAAACCACGTACTGATTACGCAATAAGCAACAACAGATGGTTTTGAAATATTCACCACCTGAGATTCTTAACGTACGTGCGCAACAAACGCGCCAACTTAAGTGCATTTCGCCTCCACCTAAAGGCGATCGATGCGGCCGTAATCAAACCCGTCACCTACGCGTAAACTGCCGGCCGCCGTAACGACTGCATCATCGAGCCCGCATACGTCATAAATGCAATTCGTTCTATCCGCCCAAGCAAAACTTCCTTACGAGCGAAGCGCAGCCGCAAGCCACAGCATATTAATCTTCAAACCACACGCTCTTACCTAATGGTCATGGCCAGGCAGTCGTGCGCCGAAATTGTAAGCCGGTGGTTTGTGTCCTGCTTGGATATTGCGGGGCGCAGCAGTTCGAGCACAGCATCGAACGTTCGTGGCGGCATCCGCATGAAGCTAACTACCAAAAATAGAATGAGATAACATGTTATGCACTATCTTATAAGCACGTAAAACAACCATAAACTTACTCTCGGAAATTCTCCTCGTCGTGCGAGCGCAAGAGCAGACGCCCTGTGTGGACGGCCACTTCTCGCGAGCGAAGGGACGGTCTCACCCACCATCGCCTTGCTTGCTTTGAAGGCTTTTGTGCTGACACGTTGGCTGAGCACATCAGCACCGCCACAACCTCTTCTTCATCACTCGACTCGAAGTCTATGATGCTGCCGGGAGAACGCTACGCAAACACAGCCGTCAAAAACAAACGCATCGCGCTCAGCGGGCTCCGTATCTGATCAGCTGATCGTCGCCGGTCGCCCAAGTTCTCGTTGATAACGAGATCTGTACGTGACTCTCCGGGTTTGCGACTTCCGGTCGCTCGCATGAATCCTTGCCGGTGTGAACGTCGCTCGCAGTTTGGTCGCCAGTCGCAAATGGTCGCGCGACCGCGGCTAGTCGCCGGTGTGCACCAACCTTAACATTCTTACCGACCCTTCAACGTCTGCGTACCCACGCGCTCTTCGCCGCCAAGCCACACATTTCGCGATACGGGACGCGCAACTATACCGCAGAAACTACCACGTGGAGGTGGTTAATGGCTCTTGGTTATACCACGCCCCAAGCGATCTGTGCTTATATCTGTGCGTATTTTCATGCCGACCCACAACATGCTCACGCTGATGTGTTAAAAACATATCAGCGGATCCGCCAGCGTTACTTCTGGCGTGGTATGTACACTTTTTTACAAAAGTACATTAGGTCCTGTTCATTATGCAAACGATGAAAGACAGCGGCCCATTCACCCGGATTATTACAGCCTCTGCCATGTCCGGCACGCCCTTTCGACCGCGTTGGTATCGATCTATATGGTCCCCTTCCTTACACTGCCACTGGAAATCGATGGATCAACGTCGCCGTCAACCATCCGACGAGGTATGCTGAAACAGCTCCACCACCTACGGCTGATACACGTGACGTAGCCAATTTCGTTTTGCGACGCTTCGTACTGCGTCACGGGGCACCACGTGAACTACTAAATGATTGAGGGCGTGTCTTTTCATCCGAAGTTGTACAACTCCTTCAGGCATGCCGCCCGGTGCACCGCACCTCTACAGCCTACCACCTGCAGACCAACGGTCTAACTGAGCGCTTCAACCAAATGCTAGGAGACATGCTCGCCATGTACGTCAAGTCCGACCAATCAAACTGGGATGTCATTCTCTCATTTGTGACCTATGCGTACAACACCGCCACGCAGTCAACCTTTCTTTCTTCTATATAGGCTGGAGCCATGCTTCTCACTTGACACCATTTTGCTGTATCGTCCCGACGTCTCCGAGTTCAACCCTTTTTCTGAAATTGTGCACCACGCTGAAGAGTGTCGTCAGTTAGTCTGGTCATTCACCTCGGACAAGCAAGCACTCGAAAAAGACCACCACGACCGCGACCAGCAAGTCGAGACTTTTACCGTGGGCTCGCTCGTCTCGCTCCGACTGCCCTTCCACTCCCGAGGTGTGTCCTCCAAGTTTGCTCCCAAGTTTCACGGTCCTTATCGCGTCGTCGAACGTCGATCTCCCGTCACATACGCGATCAAGCCAGTCACACTATCTACAGACAGGCGATGTCTTGGTCGTGAGACTGTCCACATGAGTCGTCTCCATCCCTATCACGACCCACTCCTAATCTCGTCACCTTGACTTGCCAGGATGGCTCGTCTTCGTCCCCGGGGTATTGTAGAGAGGAAGAAGGTTATGCGCCGCAGTGGGTCACGCCTTTAGCGAGAGGAGCCTAGCACGAGCTGTCCCCTCGAGCGTTGTGTTTTCTTGCGTCAGTTGCTGTCGCCCGCTTTTCGCATCCATAGACCTGCTGTGCAAGTAATACTTACGCCAATAAACCCCGTTTCACTGGCAACATAGAGGAATACTATAGCTATAAAGAAATGGTGGTAGGTGTCGTAATTAGACTTAATAAGAGCTACAAGTGAAGGTGGTACAGACTTACGCACCTACACTCAGCCATGATGACGCGTCAGTTGAAAGCTTCTGTGAAGACGTGGAATCGGCAATGGGTAAGGTGAAGATGCAGTTCACTATACTGAAGGAAGACTTTAATGCCTTGGTAGAGAAGGAGCAGGCAGAAGAACAGGCAGAAGGAGAATATGGCATCTGTATTAGAAGTGCCTAGAGGGGGAGGTATATAACAGCTGCATCTTGCCAGTACTTAGCTACGGAGCAGAAACGTGGAGACATACAAAGAGGGTTCAGCTTAAATTGAGGATGACGCAGCGAGCAATGGAAAGAAAAATGGTAGGTGTAACATTAGGAGACAGGAAGAGAGCAGAGTAGCTTAGGGTACAAACCAAGGTTAAGGACTTCATAGTTGAAATCAAGAAGAAGAAATGGACATGGGCCTGGCATGTAGCACGTGCCAGGCCCATGTGTTGGTCAGTTAGTGCAAAAGTGCTGGTCATTAAGGGTAAATAACTGGATTCCTAGAGAAGGAAAGCGGGTTAGAGGGAGACAAGGTTAGGTGGGCAGATGAAATTACGAAGTCTGTGGGTAAAAATTGGCAGCAGCAAGCACAGGACTAAGTGGACTGGTGAAACATGAGAAAGGCCTTTGTCCTGCAGCGGATGTAGTCAGGCTGATGATGATGATGATGATGATAATGATGATGACTACAAATTCTAGAGGGGAGCTATTAGTTGAAATCACAGAACGCAATAGTTTACAGATCTTGAATACCTTCTACCGAAAACGAGGGAACCGTAAGTGGACATGGAGGACCCCTTATGGCGAAAACAAGAACGAAATAGACTTGATACTGAGTTCACACTCAGGCATGGTGCAGCTTGTGGAGGTGATTGGCAAGGTACGATGCAGGGACCACATAATGGTAAGGTGTCGAATTCACCTAGACTTGAAGAAGGAATGACAGAAACTGATGCGCAAGAAGCCAATCAATGAGCTAGCACTGGGAGGGAAGGTACAAAAATTCAGTTTCACTCCAGAGCACGCACTCGGCTCTTACCAAGACAACCAGCCTTAGCGTTGATGCAATTAATGATAACCTGACGAGTATTATTACGGAGTGTGAAGTTTAGGTTCGAGGTACGGTAGTTAGACAGGACACTGGCAAGCTGTCCCAAGAAGCGAAGAACCTCATTAAGAAGCGTGAAAGCATGAAAGCCTTAAGTATATCAGACAAAATAGAGTCGGCAGAGCTTTTGAAGTATATTAATAAGCGTAAGGTATCCGACAAAAAGAGGTATAACAAGAAGATAATTGAAGAGACTGTAGAATGGAGGAAACGTCAAAGCAAAGAAGAGGAAACTTGGGTAAGGCAAAAATCATATGTATGCACTAAAGGACAAGAAAGGCAAAAATAACTACTGATATAATTGGGATAGTAAAATAGCGAAGGAGTTTTACAAAGATCTACATAGTAGCCGGGACACCCACGACCTTACCATATGAAATAGCAGTAAGTGTTATGGCGCTACACCAGTAATTATAGAAGTAAACAAAGCCTCAGAAAGATGCAAAGAGGCAAACCTGCTGGTGAGGATCAGGTAACATCAGCGAGGATAGAGGAAAGATGCGTTAGATAAACTAGCCAGCCTGTTTACGAGGTGTCTCCTGACGGGAAGGGTACCAGAGTCTTAGAAGCATAGTAACATCATCTTAATACATAAGAAAGGAGATAACAAAGACTTGAACAATTACAAGCCGATCAGCTTGCTCTCTGTAGTATACAAGATGTTTACAAAGGTAATTGCTAACGGAGTAAAAAACAACATTAGAAATAAATCAACCAAAGGAACCAGCAGGATTTCGAACAAGCTAATCAACAATCTACCACATTGATACTATCAATCAGGTAATTGAGAAATGCTCAGAATATAATCAACCACTATACATAGCCTTCATAGATTACGAGAAGGCGTTTGATTCAGTAGAAATGTCAGCCGTCATGCAGACACTGCGGGATAAAGGCATTGATGAAGTATATATAAACATCCTGGAAGAAATCTACAGGAGATCAACTGCTCCCATAGTGCTTCATAAAGAAAGCAACAGAATACCAATCAAGAAGGGTATAAGGCAGGGAGATACAGTCTCCATAATGTTATTTACCGCGTGCTTACAGGAGGTTTTCAGAGACCTAGAATGGGAAGAGTGCCATTCATACATTATTGGGAATACCTTAATAATCTGCGCTTCGCCGATGACGTTGTATCACTGAGTAACTCAGGGGGCGAATTGCAAATCATGATTACGGAGTGGGACAAGGATAGCATAAAGGTAGGTCTTAACATTATTATGCAGAAAACGAAAGTAATGTACAACCATTTCGGAAGAGAACAGCGGTTATAGATAGAAAATACCGCACTAGGAGTAGAAAAAGACTATGTCTACTTAGGGCAGGTAATAACCACGGAGTTGAAGCACGTGATTGAAGTAATTAGAAGAATGGGGGTAAGTTGGAGCACATTTAGCAAGCGCTCTCATAACATGACAGGTAAATTGCCACTCTCCATCAAAAAGAAGGTATATAACAGCTTCTTCTTGCTGGTACGTAGCTACAGAGCAGATACCTGGAGTCTCACAAAGAGGGCTCAGCCTAAATTGAAGACGACACAGCGAGCAGTGGAAAGGAAAGTTATCGGTCTAACCATAAGAGACAAGAGAATAAAGTGTATCCGCGAAAAAACCAGGGATAAGTATATAATAGATGAAATCAAGAAAAGAAAATGGACATGAGCTAGGCATCTGGCGTGTAGGCAGGATAACCGCTGGTCATTAAAGGTAAGAACTGGATTCCCAGAGAAGGCAAGCGGGTTAGGGGGAAACAGAAGGTTGGGTGGGCAGAAGAAATTAAGAAGTCTGCGGGTATAGAATGGCAGCAGCACGCACAAGACCGAGTTCACTGGCGGAACATGGGAGGGGCCTTTGTCCAACAGTTGACGTAGTCAGGCTGATGAGGATGATGATGATCTATCTATCTAGCCGCCGACAACTTTCAGCTCTCTTGGCTGTCTCGATAAATTTATCAATGGCAAAATCAGTATTGCAGAACATGGTGGTATTACAAGCATAACTGACTGATCATAACATAAAAATCATGGTATGTATATCAGGAATGTCACGATTTACATTGTAAGGTCGCGCTGCCCTCTCGGCAGTTTCGTTCACATTACATTTTGCAAAGCTGGTGTGATAACACATGATTGCATAGCGAACATAAGTGACAGACCCTAACATAGAAATCGTGACGTGCATTTCATGATTTTCTTATTATGGCAAATCGTGACTACATGCCGCGCTCATGGTGTGCTCGTGGTCGTCTCGCTAGCTTAACGTATAGTAAATTTGCTATTACTGGACGTGAATGGATTGCGAACGTACATGACACGTCCAAATATGATAATTATGAGATGTGTGT